ACACCCACACCCACACCCACACCCACACCCACACCCACACCGACACCCACACCCACACCCACACCCACACCCACACACCCACACCCACACACCCACACCCACACCCACACCCACACCCACACCCACACACACCCACACCCACACCCACACACACCCACACCCACACCCACACCCTAGTGAAAGCAGAAAGTCAAATCTCAATCAATTAGATTCTTAATTTATGTACACTAAGCTTTCGCTGGCAATCTGAAAGAACTTCGTTACATCAACAAACTCGAACACAAGTACCATAATCATTTTCCGATTTGGTGGTATACTAATCAATGTTTTTTTTTTGTATTCAATGGTCAACTGATCATTTCGAATGATGAAGATCGATCTCATCAGAAGTATTGGATTTTTTATTCGCGATCTTCACAACCATATTGTCGAGCTTCATAAGAAATAGCACGTTGAACGAATCGTTTACTGTCTTTCGTGGTCAAGACACAAGGTGGACTTTTATCACGTAATAATTTTTTATTGACTAGTACTCACCGTGAAGTATCTCTCAGCTTTCCTCGTCGAACTGTAAGCTCATCGGATGGATATTTGCATTCGGTCAACACCATTTGCTGATGTCCACGATGCCTGTTATTTCCAAGAAGAAGAAGAAACTCTTTTCCCCATGCATTCCGTTTATCGTATAGGATCAATAGAACCAATCTATGGAAATAATCTTCTTTGCCAAGTTGATTTAACATGGACCAGTAACAACAATTCAGATCTTCGTGTAGTTACTGAACACATGCGCAAAGAGGCCTATCCTGAGAAGAAATGATAGGATCGTTTAGGTAATTTACTGATTAAACTAGAGTAATTCAACAGAGTCGAAGAGGTATATGAAATCCTACTGGAACAAACAACAACTATTTCCGAAAAAGCATCAATTCACCATACGCTTGCCATAGTTAAATATAGTCAAGGTAAATATAAAGATGCCATTGGTTACTATCGAAAAATAAAATAAAATGTATGAGAGGTTTGTCTCACCAATGGCTGCTTCATACAACAGCATTAGTATCGTGTATAACAAAATGGGTGACTATTCGAATACACTTTCATATCATCAAAAAGCACAAGAAATCACACAGAAAACCTTTCCTTCAAATCGTTCTGAGTTATATGTTTCTTATGACAGCATTGGTAGTGTGGGGTGTGGGTATTGCTTAAAGGCCAACAAATAGCATCCATACCCTCAATAACACTGATCAATTACCTTAAAATATATTTCATCTGAATAAACTATTACATGGATTGGTATTAATTGAATTGTATCTGGATAACTGAAGTAAACACAATAATGGAAGAATCAATGATTAATATCTTCTCATTCAATAAGATTGATGAAATTCTTCTCTGTTGTTCATTCGCTTTCATATCAGTATGACATCGTTCACAGAAATGAAGATTGGTAGTAAAAAAATATTTTTTATTTCTGATTATTAAACAAAATTTTTCTTTTGAAATAAATAGTAATTAAAAGTTAAGAAAAAAATTTTCCACCATTGACTAAAATACTCTGTCCAGTAATATAATCAGAATTTTTGCTTGCAAGAAATGAAACTAAGTTTGCGACATCATCTGTTTCTGTTAAGCGACCAAGTGGAACGCCTTTTGCGAAATCGTCCATAACCTCGTCTTTTGTTTTTCCATGTATTTTTGCAAAATCTTCACAAAACGTATCAGCAAGCGATGTCATGCAAAGGCCTGATAAAATTTGTTAGATTTAACATTCGAAAACTATAAAAATATACCTGGACAATAAGCATTGACTGTGATATTGTATGGAGCCCATTCTAATGCAGCAGCTTGTGTTAAACCTCGTACACCCCATTTTGTAGTCGAATAAGCACCGAGTGTTGCAGATGGTCTATATCCAGCATTACTGCTAGCACCAATGATTTTTCCTCCTTTACCTTGTTTAATCATGATTTTTGCAGCTTCTTTATAACAAAGAAATACACCACGCACATTTACTGCAAAAAGTCTATCCCAATCTTCTACAGTTGTATCTAAGAGTAATTTCGTTTTACAAATTCCTGCATTGGCGACTAATACCTGTAAAATTAACCATAGCGGAAAAAACACGAAAGCAATAAAAAAAAGAGTGAAAAATACATACATCTAAATTTCCTAATTTTTCTGCAACTTCTTGCATCATTTTTTCAACCGATTCACTTATAGTAACATCAGCGATTATAGAGATTGATTGTCGACCAATTTGTTCAATTTCTTGTTGAACTTTTTGAAGTTCAGAGGAATTAGCTTCTATATCATTAACAGCAACATTGAGACCATCTTTGGCAAGACGAAGAGCAATAGTACGTCCTATTCCTTGAGCAGCACCAGTCACCAAAGCCGTACGACTCATTTTGTATTATAATCAATAAAAATAAAATAGTTAATTACTTAAATAAATCTCTTTTTGAAGATATTTCAGAAAAAGATACTGTCTTCTTTAGATTTTATTATCAAAAATCATATATTACAGGGTACGCGTACACCTTAGTTTTTTTCTCTTTTTTTTTGTTTCTTTTTCTTATTTATAGATGTTTTAATTTGATGATGAAATGATAAGAAGGTATCTCGTAGGAGCAAACTTCTTCTCTTATCCTATTTCAATCCATTTTTGTAAGATAATAAAAATAGAAGAGAAAAGGAAAATAAAAGCTAAGGTATACCGAGTCCCCGAAAATGATTGCAATACACCGTATTTTGCGTATACTGCATCATGAATAAACGACAAAAAAGCTTGATTTTTTAAAAAAGATGCGCCGTGAATACTTCTACAAGTTTTGTTTCAAAAAAATGCTCCATAAAAAATTGTAAAGAGCGTAACTGAGCAAAGGGGTGTTTCATTTTGACTATAAAAGCAAACATCAAAACATTATAATGAGAAGTTGGTTCGGTATTTTTTGTAGAGCTTTTTTTGGTGTATCTTTTGAAAAAGGGTGTGGGTGTGGGGGTGGGTGTAAACATTCTCTTCATCCACATCCACACCCACCCACACCCACACCCACACCCACACCCATATTTGGAACCAGCACTTAAAACTGAGCTGATCTATGGATGTTTCAGATTCTTTTTGCGAACTTCATTTTTCGTCAAAAAAACTCATCTGTGGCCTACCTCAGGGCCCTATGCAAAAAATATTTTTATTCCAAGTTTTTTTAACGGATTAGTCTCAGCCGCTAATTTTTCTATATTTGAGATACCAACACTTGACTTCACAAACCCACATAGGTTTCGTTGAAATCCCAGAGAAACACCCAAGGACCTTCCCTCGTAAGCTTTCGATCTGCCTTCAAATCGTCATCAGACACAACTATCAAGTATGAAAGAAAGAAACTAGACCATATATGTAGTGAATATAATCTCTTCATTTATGTTATTCTTTTTCTTTTGAAACACTGCAATATAAGGTGGAGATAGTCTTCGTTGAATTATCGACTTTGTAGTGTTTCAAAAGACAAGAACAAAATATGGATAAAGAGATTGTACCTAATACATATGTGGTCTATAATCCATTGCTGAAAATAAGTCGCTTGGGCAGAATTCTTATAACTTTTGAAAGGAAAATGATAGAGACCTGGGATTTTCACCGTTGGATAGAGGACATCAGGGCACGTAAGGCTATGTAAAAAAAAGATCTGTTATACAAGGTACGTGTTTATAACTTTTTAATAAATTTGTCGAAAACCGCTAAAATAAGCTTCAAATTTAGAAATCTGAAATTTCCTTTTTCTCACAGGAAATCCTTCTCTTTCAAAAAGGGCAACTTCAACATTTTATCTTGTTGAGTTCAAATGATGCAGAGGCACTGTCTACTGTATATCTGATGTGTAAATCAGTTGTGTACTGAGGTTAAATCTCAAGAATAGGCATATTTTATGTAATTTTCATCCAAATTTGATGACGCAGATAACGAGTATTTTTATAGATTGACCCATCGGTTTTTTACATAGACTTATGTGCCCTGATGTTCTCTATCCAACGGTGAAAACCGCAGCTCTCTATGACTTTCCCTTCAAAAGTTATAAGAATTCTGCCCAAGCGACCTATTTTCAGAAATGGATAATAGTTCTTTTTTCTTTTATATTTGTTATTTGTATCATATGCGGACCAGAAGACAGATTGGATGCTTATCTATTTTTATGTTTATGATAAAACGAGTATGGTTAACTACAGTCACAGCCATCTAATCCACATCCTAGTTTGAAGCTTCTTCTCGTCACCTTTTCGCACATTCCTTGATCATCTAATACGTTCTTGTCATGCAGGTACAAGTACAGTATCGGACAAAAGTCTCCACTCACCCAGATCTTAGCTAGCATAGACACTTGAGGTCTGAAAATTTGTGTGCATATAATCCACCCAGAATGTAGGTCAGAGCTATGAGCTCGCTCTGATTGCTAAGATACTGCGAGAACTATGACGGATGGTAATGGATGGCACTTATTTTTTCCTTTGAACTTCATATTTCGAAAAATAAAAGGTATTACGGGTCAGTTGATTCCTCCTTATTCACGGCTTTACTCTAGCTGCCTACGCTATTAATTTCATCGAAATCCATAAATCCTTATCAGAACTGCGGGCACTTTACTGTGACTATTCGAAGTTCGAAAAACTTCCTTTTGTAGTTTGTAGAGCATAACTGAATAATTCTAAAATAAATCGAGCTCAAACTTTGAGAGAAGCTTCACTGGTAGCTAAACACTATTGCCTTCAAGTCTCACGAAAGAAGCATATTCCAAAGAAAAATAGTGTACTATGCATTATCGTGTTCGTGCCAAGAACTCATAGATGTCTAAAGACGGTAGTTTTGCACCGAATAGCATGGTCTTTTGAGTGAAAAAATGCCTTACACTGTGCTTCAGCTATATCTTAAAATATCAAGAATTAATGATGTACTTGAGAAAAAGCAACGCAAAATTTAGTAAGCAGCTTTTTTCGATCAAAAACCTTGCAGTAAAAAAGGCTTCGTTCATTATAATTCTTGCTTTATTTAAGCAATCCGGTTGAGCTCATGGCTCTGATCTGCATTCTTGGTAGATTATATGTACACAAATTTTCAGACCTCCGATACCTGTAATAACTGAGATCTAGGTGGGTAGAGACTTTTGTCCGCTACTGTATATGTAACCTGCTGCTTTTTGACTTGTTCAAACACGTTACTACGCATGACTTGAAGCTTCTCACAATTTCGTTGACATGTTGATCAACATGCTGACAGTTTTTGTTGTCCCTCTTACGAATTTATGCATGGCTTCTCGTACGCTACTTGTAGTTTTACACATTCGTTCGTGATCTGAAACTCTGCGCGATGAGTTCGACAAATTGATGGATAGCCTGAGACTCCTCGTCCTCTCTTTTAAGGGTTTGTGTGCGAATTTAATGTGACTAGAAAATTTTCGCCGACATTTCGCTAAACTGATGTGTGACTAGTATCCTTAAATTCCTAACTCTTGGGCATTCGTGTAACTGTGCTGCACGATGTCATTGGTGAAAGAGCCTAGGTTTTGTTCCTTACTGAGTGGTTTGAAGATATTTCGTCTTCACAATGACTCGAAACAGTTCACCCTCCATGTTGCACATTATTGTGAGTAGCGAAGCTTCTCCAACTAACTCTATCATATCATTGAGTGAGATGAAACGTTTTGGTTTTGCAGCTATGAATTTTGTTATGATCCAACACTTTTTCGCTGTCACTGTAACACACATGCGCCTAGTAGTGAACTGCATTGGACTCCAAACTCCAATTCCAACTCCAACTCCATGGAGTTGGAGTTGGAGTTGGAGTTCCAAAATCGAAAATTTGTGGAGTTGGAGTTGGAAAGAAAATTAGAAATTTTTTTGGAGTTAATTTTGGAGTTGTATCAGTAAAAAAGACAAGTACGTTTTCTTTTATAGATTAGCAATT